ATATTAAGGACCTATTAACCTTTGTTAGGGTGTTGAGTTAACCCCTGTACTCTTTGAGTTAACCGTCTTCCTCTGACGCTAAGCTACGGCAGCCCCGCTGCAAATTTGCCACCGGAAAAACAGCAGTATCTCCAGTCACCTTAGCCATTTCGGTACCTCATGTCACCAAACAGAATACAAATGGTTATATTATCGTTTAAATTACCCAAGATAAAAGTCTAAAACTGTGAATTTTAATACGAGCGACCGCGTGTTCCTCGAATGTTACACTTCCTTGTGTAGCAACAGTGTGAAATCCTGTGGTGGGTAGAGGGCGCTTCGGCAAGCATGACGTGAGCTGGGCGGCGGGGAACTTCCTGACACAAGTGCGTGTAGAAGGAGAGGACGATGGTCTCCATCAAGGAGCTTCAGCCGATTATACTGCAGAATGCTCCAGCACCCTGTTTTACTGCAAGCTGCACTTGAGGGGAGACTCCGACACCCAGGATCTGGAGATCAACTTCTATGGAGGTGGATTTCCGAACACCCTAGATACCGGTACTCAAGTAACAGGATATGCACCTACATACTCCGGAGCAGATGGCTACGAACCTACGTTTCTAGAGAGCGTCAACTATTACGCGAGGACGTATGACTTCCACATTGACTACTTCACGAACACAGATCTTGGTGAAGAACAATAGCGTCGACTACAGCAAGCACAGATCTTTGTTCCTTGCAGTAGGACGGTGCAAACAAGCAGTCGGGCTCTACAAGTCGCGTCGATGGCAGTGTCTAGACCACTCGCGACGGTATGACCTCGGGTTGATGTGCTCAAGGTTGATGTCGCCGGCGGCCTTCTACCAGGCCACTCGCTCTCTACCGAGCTAATCTGAAACTAACATTTACCTTTATCTGTCTCTGTGCTACGACAGAACTGGTAAATCACACGGAGCCAAGGTTTTACACACAGAAAATGTGACAGCACATACAATGTGGGTGATACACATCAATGTCACATTACGCCACACAATATATACGTGTGGCACAATTGCATTGGCCAAAACACATCAAACTCGTGTGTCTACACACCACTTAATATTAACGAATCACGACCTGTGCTTTGACAGTCGATGAACCAATCACAGTTGTTTATATCCTAGCAAGAATCTTTTTTTTTTTCATACAGAAAAAACACTGAAATCTGAACTCCCACCCCCTCGTCTCCCACCTTGAAGATGCCCACGACGACCAAGTGGGCGACTGTCTGTAGCGACATGGCTCGAGAGGGCTCCCAACTGCTCATGGAAGACATGGAGGTGGTCATCATTGTCAAGAGTCAGCTGGTTCCATGCGTCGTGTGTGAGCTGACCAAGCCACACAAGATGCGGTGCCAACTGTTAAGATGTGCCTCGGAAACATGCAAGGCAGCAGCAACGCGTGCCCATGGAAGGGGAAGGTTCTCACGTGTCAAGGACTTAACCGGGTGACGATCATGGAGACTGGTGCTCATGAGACGCTGGTAAAGGAGCCCCAAAAGGTCAAGTTGACTCCACGGCTGAAGGATTACGGTCGCGAAATGGCGACGCAAGGCCTCAAGCCCTCTCGAATTCGCAATGGAATGGCTCGACGATTTGGACTTACTGAGTCGGAGTTGCCGACGCTGCGTCAGGTGCAATGGTTCGTCAGCAGCTATTCGAAGAAGAACCTCCACCGCAATGACGACTATGACCAAATCCTGAGCCAAATCGATCAGCTGGCGTATGGTCCGACCGTCTCCATTTTCGTTTGGTTGGAAACGTGACGGCCGCGGCAAACCAGATGTGGGGAACGGCTCTGACGAAAAACCATTTTTAGTTGGGCTGACAACTAAACGTCTTTTACTGAATGCGGCTCGCGACCCGGAGGCGTTCGTTTTCCACATGGATGCCACCTTCAAGTTGAACCAAGTCGGGTATCCTGTCATCGTGTGTGGGATCTCTGACAAGTGTCGCTCATTCCACCTCATGGCACTTTTCATTACGTCGCAACGCTTGGAGGACATTTACGCGACGGTGCTGACTGAACTGCGCCGGATTTTTGCTTCAGTGTCGGGTGGGCGTCAACTGGTGGTCAAGTTCGTCATGGCCGACGCTGAAGCTGCTCAACAGAACAAAGTGGTTCGCGTCTTCGGTGCGGATTGCGAATTCGTGTACTTGATGTGCTTCTATCACGTGATGGCCAAAGTTCACGAAAAACTGAAGAGTGTACCCGATCGATTACGTGACCAGGTGATGGCGGACGTTTACGACCTGCATTTGCGGCTAGCCAAGATGTCTATGACGAACAAGTGAAACCGATTCTAACGAGTTGGTCGGACGAAGAGCAGATGGTATGGTTCCGAGGCTATTTCGAACGCACGTGGGTGACGAGCGCGTTTTGGCTTTGGCAATGCTTTCATACACCAAGTAGATACGCCACCACAAACAATCCGGTGGAACAGTTTAACCGTTTGATCAAGTGTGACTACACACTGCGGACCAAACATAAGATCGGGACGCTGATCCAGTTGCTGGCGGATTGTTGCGGACATCAGTCAGTGACTCCAAGAATTTTCAAGGAATCCCCTGAGGCTACCCAGCAGTTAAATGCAAGGGTTAAGGATTTTCGCCGCCGCGATCTTCTTGTGGGCATGACTCCGAGCCGATCCAGTATCGACTTCCTACTTGTTTCCCCCAACCCAGACGTGGTTAGGGTGCTGTCACGTGGCTGCGAGCGTGTTTACCTCCCGGAGCTCGGGCGCAGTCGTGAGGTGGGTCCAGTATCGGCGCAGATGGAAGTTAATTACGCGCGAATGGAAGTGGCTGGGCAGCCGGAGGGTGGCTGGAACGTGGATTTGAGTACGAATTCATGTGGATGCAAGTACTACTTCAAGTTTGCTGTCTGCATTCATGTGATTTTTGCTCTGCAGATTAAGAGCTACACAGGCTTGGACGGCAAACGGACTCTAGTTAATCGATCTGTGTCCAGGAAACGTCGCCGCTCTAGTACTACAGTACCAGTGTCCGAGTTCCTGCTGGTCGCCCATTGGCAAACCGACATGCATTAAATATGGAATGAAAACCGGTAGCTACATGTACAGTCGTTTTTTGCTAAAGAAAGAAAATCGAACTTTCTGTCTATTTTTTTCTGATTAATAATAGATTCACGTTCAACTTCGATTTTATCTGTGCTCAATTTGCTTTTCATTCTTCTTATCACTTCCACCATGGCAAGCCGCCCCAGCACCAACACTGCCTTCCCAGCCTTCTTCAAGTGGTGCCAAGCACACCTTCGCGTCCGGTTGGGGGCGCCTCGATGAAGCTGCGGCTCGTTACCTGAGAACATGGGTTCATGTTCAACAAGGTAATGCCTCAACCGCAGAGGCAATCAAGCGGCTGCTGGATGCTGTGCCCAAATCTCGCATCACTAAGTCCCGCCTCATTGAGGCAGCTGCTTTGGGGGACGACGCTGGTGAGGCGGAATGGGTCCTACCAACTGGTACCGACCTGCGCGGACTACCTACGTATCAAATGCGGACCATCCGCGGATTGTCGAATCAATGGGCGCGTTCAATTCCTCACCTCCTGGGAGCCAACCTGGGAGCCGGCGGTGAACCTCCCTTCAAACAAAATACGCATTTACAGATGACGCCAACGGCGCCGAGTGGAGCGCGCCTACGTGGAAGCTGAAGCTACAGAAGAATAAACAAGTGCCAACAGGCTCAACAAAGCATTTATTTTTTCACAACTAATAAATTACTTGTTCCTGTTCTGCCTCTTGTCGTTCGTGTAAGCTTCAACCGTTGAATCGCACAGCAACACACCAAGCCATCCGCAAGAGAGGGCCGAAACCCTTCAACTTGCCCCGCACAAGCTCAGCACGCTGCCGGCGAATCCCGATGAAGCAATGCCTGTCCCGGTAGAACGTAGTGGAAGTCTGCATGTCCAGGTAGAACGTAATCGTAGTCTGCATGTCCAGGTAGAACGTAATCGTAGTCTGCATGTC